TAATATAATATAATATAATATAATATAATATAATATAATATAATATAATATAATATAATATAATATAATATAATATAATATAATATAATATATAATGATGAGGAGTGTTATCAATATCAAGTGACATTTTTGAGACTAGGCAGTGTTTGAGCAGGAAGCAGCTGTGCACAGCTATGAATTAGTCTCACTCAAGATGGAGCAACCCAACAGGCCTTTTCCTTCTCCTACTTCCCACTTGTTTGAACTTTTCCTGCATTTTTGTGTAAAGCAGATGTGCTCTAGCAAAGATAAGCACACCACATGCTCAGTGGCCAAGGCAGCAGGAGCTGGCCCAGAGGAGGTTTTGGCTGGTGGAATGTGGTGGGGCTGTCAGATCTACTTTATACTGGAGATAGTGGCCTCTTTATGATATACAGGTCATTGCAGACAATTTGTGGACAATTGTGGACAACACCCATTCAATTGCAGACAGATAGGCAGGTGTTCCCTCTTTATGGTCACTCTTAAAGAGCTATAAATGGCTTAGATAACGTTCATGAGGAAGCTGCTTGTGTTCTCATCAATGACCTACCAAAGCAGTTGGCAACAGGAATATTAATCTGGTCGTTGTAATGGCAGGTCAAAAACATGTCAGTGTTGCTGTTCTTCCACAATGGAGGGAGTTACAATGCTGAGGAGGGAAAGACAACCCTGGATGGGTCATACCTGGCTGCCATTGGTAACATCATCGTTGTGACGGCAAACTACCGGGTCGGTGTCTTTGGCTTCCTGAGCACTGGTAAGTCATGGATTGCCAGAGCAAACACAATTATGCATTCTCTAACTCTTCTGTTGCTGATTTTTAATTTTTCAAGTTATTTTTTAACTTGAGTAAGTTGTATCTTTCACAGATTTTTTTTTTTTTTTAATTATTGTGGAAGAAGAATGACCAAGAAGTAGTGGAGACTTGATCTGAAGAGAAAGGGGAGAGGTTGGGGGAACAGGGGCAGCAACAAACCTAACTCAGTATCTGTATCAAAACACTGGTTAGACTTGTGCATGCAAATGAGATTCTGGATATTGAGTTTTGCACATGTGAAGATAGGTTAGTACTAAAATTCCTACTAATTCCAGTGGCCTACCATTGTGGGTAGAGTTTTCAATTATTCCAACTTCCAGCCTGTTCCATCCATGAAATTTTGCTGATGCTGTCTTGTGCCCATGTCAGAGTGGGGAAGAGGCAGAGACAGATAACTGCAGGTTCATGGTAAGAAGGATGTGGGAGGATGGAAAGTGTGGCACAAAGGTAATTGCTTGGTTCCTTAACAACTCAGCCTGACTTCTCTGAAGGACTTGCCCCATTTAATCTGAGGCTGTACTGACCTGGACGTGACTGAACATTTACATGTTCTGTGTTGCAACCTTTCCCCATATTCCAGTGTAAAGGATTTTTGCTCTCCTATTGCCTCCTAATACCAATTGCCATTAAAAATTATACGAATTCCCATTACAAACTGATTTTGTCTTGTGTAAAGAGGTATGAAAACACACATCCAATTTCCCTAAATCTTCGGGGTAGTGCCATCTGGTCTTAGGGATATTTTTTTAAATTTTGCCTTTTTTTAGGCTTGCCTTTTTAAGCAAGTAGGGAACACTTTTCTTTCTACCATCTTTCACTTCTACCTGGGGCAGGGGAACTTAAGGTAGAGAGCCAATGAGAGAAAATGCAACAGCTGCAAGTGAAGCTCTATCTCTTTCAGAGTCTGGTGGCAATCCTTGGTCTCTTTAATGGGCATTTTAATAAATTTTTAAATTTTAGGATGTCATATTTGCCATGTTTGCAAATATCTGACCTACATACTTCGCCTCATGATCCTTTTGAGTGTTCACTGCTACTGATGTTGGGTGGATTTTGCCTAGTTTGAGGTTATAGCTGCAGTTGTTGGTTATTTTTTCCCCTTCTCTGCTGCTTTGTTCAAAGCTCACTCAGAGCAAAGTCTCTTTCATTCTCTTTCCATTTGTTTCATTTCTGTAAATAGAGAGCTGTCACTATGGATTCTTAATTATTTAGATAAGAATTTGGTTATGGGTGTATCTGGAGAAAAAAAACCAACTGTTTTCATCAGTGCAAACCCAATGTTTATGAAAGTGATACCATCATTTCATTTTGTCTGGAGCCAAATGCAGCGTGGATATGTGCTGTGGGAGCTTCCAGTACACAGCACTGCCCACATGTTACTCACCACCCTCCTTCAGCCCTGTGAAACTCATCTTGGTTTCATCCTAAGTGGAAAATGATGATTGGGCTGAATATTATGCTGCAGTATTTATATGATGATGCATAATTTAGGGATAAGGAAAATTATTTGGTCTCTGTTTCACAGGGTTCTGCCTGCATGTCCCAAAATGTCAATACACGGGCTTGGTGTGCCTGATTGGCATTCCTGCAAAGCTTCATATAGAGGCAGTTCATTACAGGCAGGGACTTTTTGGGAACCTTCTCCTGCTCCTCTGTACTGTGGAGCTGTGGTCAGGGAAAAGTTCAGTCTTTCCTGGCCTCTTCCTCTTTGGGAAGTCCATCTTGTGTATTTGGGAAAATTGTGCAGTCCTAGACTCACAAAATATCTTAAATGGAAAGGGATTCACAAGAATCATTGAAGTCCAGCTCCTGGCCCTGCACAGGACCCCAGGAATCCCAACATATGCCTGAGAATGTTGTCCAAACACACCTTGAACTCTGTCAGGCTTGGTGCTGTGACAGCAAATGGTAATTAGTTAAGTCATTAACCATTAACATTCCAGTCTCCCGCACCTGGTCCTTTGGAACTTTTAGTTTCAAAGGGAGCAGGAGTTCATCCTTAGGGCTTCAGAGCAGGACTCTTAGAAGGCCCTACAGTTAGAATAAAAGTTATGAACTTGTGAGTAATATTAGTTTGATTGTCCAACAAAGCAAAGTGCTGAATCCTCTCAAGTTGACTTGTTATAAATTACAAAACTAGAAAGGAAAGAGTTAAATGGATTTTTAGAGAATCGAAGGGTAGTGAAAACAGAAGAATTCCTTTTGTGTGGATGGAGTTTTTGTTAGTTCTACAGTTCTTCTGGTCTCTCAGTGGCAGAGCTTTTGCATGAAGTGAAAGAGCACTCTTTCTTCTAAGCATAAAAGATGTTTAACTAAATTTGCTATCACCCATTAATATTGCAAAAGGTAATTCACATTCTTACTAGTGTCTTCACTTCTTCCTTTGCATCCAGATAATTGGCAGTGATAGGGATGGCAAGAGTATGGAGAAGACAGTCATGTTGCTAGGTTTTATTCTTTTAAGATTCCATGAAGTCGTATAAATCAGAATGATTTTCATGCTTTAATTTAGAACTATTGTTCTTCTTCTGTTTAGTAATAAGAGAAGGAAGCACACAAGGACTCTGGTTCCTTTTCAGCTTCCTGTGGTCCTCAGTAATGTGATCTTTTCCTACAAAAAGGCAGTGGAAAAGATTACTGGCAGATATGTTTCTGTCAGTCTAACTCCTGTGAATGTCCGTGCATGCATCTGTTCTCCAGTGTGGTGCATTTCATAACTCAGTTGTGGTTTTTGCCAGGGAAAAAGGAACTGGTTATATTTCCCTCTTAGGTCTTATTGGTTAGTATAGTGAAAGCAAGGCAGATTGTGAGACTAAAACATTTACATGGATCGGCATATAAATATTTCTTCACCAAAGGGATTGTACAACATTGGAACAGGATGCCCAGGGCAGAGGTGGAGTCACCATCCCTGGAAAAATTGAAAAGCATGTAGCTGTGGCACTTGGGGACATGGTTGAGTGGTGAACTTGGCAGTACAGGGTTAACAGTTGGGCTCAATGATCTTAAGGGTCTCTTCCAACCTGAGTGATTCTATGATTTCACTTCCTTTGGAGTGGTGTCAGTGGGGATGGAGCAAGCCTCTAAAATGAGATTTCATTTTTAAAGATTGGGTTTATTGCTGGATTGAGAACTCTGGGAACTGGTCATCGTGTGCAGAACAAACTAAAAACACCCCAAAAAACAAATCACAAAACCAAAAAAGCTAAGTAGGGAAAATATTTCGTCCATTGCTTCACTGATGGGGCTTGGACTGATCATCTAAAACAAATGCTACAGGTCATATTTTTTCGGCCATTCAGTTTTTGCCTGCCTACTGAAAGGCTGTTCCTAACAATGGCTGTTGTAGTGTGGGCATCTCTAAGCCCTGCAAGGTTACCATTAATCTGTTCTCCTCTATGTTTATTCTGCTGTGTAAACTGGTGTGTTTGATACTTCAGTAAATCACTACAGCAGTGTAAAGGATGCACACTTTAATTGCTCTTTGTCCAAGACCTGTCCACAAAGTGGTATCTTTTTATTCCAATCTCTTTTGATTTTAATTCACTAGTTTCTGAACCTTCCCTTATTTTTAGCTTGTACTATTTGGTCTTGGCAATGGAAGAAACAAATCGTTTAGCTGCTTTTCTATTCATGGCTTTTCTGTTTTATCCTGTGGGTTTTTGTTTTTTTCCAAGTTTTCAATATGAAGAATTTTAAAACTTTGAAAATGAATGGCTCATTGTGGATTAAAAAGAAGTAGACAGTGAATAATCATTTTCTATTCCTTTTTTACAAACCATAGAGGAATTACTTATTTCTGCTTTTTTTGACATAAAATCAAGCTTACCTACATGGCTGCATCATTAGATACTTTAAGCATTAGTTTCTTATTAATCAAAGTATCAGGTTATGACTTTCTGGTGTTGAAAAGGAGATGCTCATACTTGGGCATGAGAAGCACATGATTAATTATTTGTTTGTTTTTATATTTAGAAATATATATATTTATATCAGATTTCTATTGGATAGACATGGGACAATCTCAAAGAATATACACAGAAATATTATAAATTTTAAAATAATATCTAGAAGAGTGTAAAGAAACTCAAAATGTTGTGATTTATAATGATTGGTCAGGCAGGGCAAATGTAAGAGGTATGTAGGAAGGGAATATACAGTCAGGTGTAATCCAGGGAAACAGTAATTCTTATAGATCCCTTCCAACTTGAGAACTTGGCAAAAACACAGATTTTTTTTTTGTTTCTTTGTTTTTAATTCATTTTAAGAACAAGCCACTTATGTAGAAAAAGAATCTTATGGCTAAATCTATGGATACTTGAGCCTAGATTTGTCTCCTGCCATGATGTGCCCTAATGAAGCTTAGAACTTCAGGTGTTATTTTTCTACCACTGGGACAAAGCAGCACCCCCAGGGCTGTGGAGTGGTAAAAACTGAAATGAAGTCACTGTGTAAAGTGACCACCTTGGAAGGGACCAGATTTTTAAACTCCGGTATCAGTTTTGTCAAGCTTCTCCAGCCTTCAATGTTTATAGTTCTCTTCTCAGCCGTGTTTTGTTTCCCCCACAGGCTCTGCCGAGGCCCGTGGGAATGCTGGCCTTTGGGACCAGCTGGCAGCTCTGAGGTGGGTGCAGGAGAACATTGCCAGCTTTGGGGGTGACCCTGGCCGCGTGTCGCTGGGAGCCGAGCGCGGCGGCGCGGACGCCACCAGCATTCACCTGCTCTCAGACACAGCAGCCACAGAGCTGTTCAGGAGGCTGCTCCTGATGGTAAGTTCCATTCCTGCTTCAGCATCTCCTGCACTGTGAAAGGATGCTGCTACAGAGATGAGGATGCTGCAGTGTGTGGGTGCTGGTTTTGTTTCATCCATACCTTGACAGGGCTGTTATTGCTGCAGTTATTTTTCATCTCACCTGTGATTGTTATCTCGAGGAGCTGGATGCTTCACCAGGATGTACAAGAGATGCACTTTGGTGTTTGATTTACTCATATTAAGAATCCAGTTTTCGTCACTGTGGTTTTTTGTGTATTATATAAATAACCTTGTTTCGTAACCTATAGGTACAACAGCTTAGTTTCCATTCCATAAATACAATTGTTGGTCAGCAGCTTTTAGACCCTGAAACTGATGAGCCAAACTCCCACATGTTAAAGTATCCAGCCTTTTTATCGGATAATATGACAGATTTCATTTAAAAGAAAAACCAAGTTTCAGAGAATAAAAATTGGTTTACAGATGGCCTTGTTTCCCATCAGCTTAGACCATTTTCTCAGTCACTCCAGGTGATCTATATCCTTACAACCTTTCCTGTTTTGAGTCTCAGGACTATGAGATCAGTTTTGTCAGCATCAATACTGCCATTTATCTTCACAGCCTCAGATAAAGTCAGTGTGCTCTGAAATGAGGTTTAATCACTAGAGGAGGTTTATACACCCAGCAGAAATGATACTTGGACAAAATGATCTCTGCTAGGAGTGTTGCCTTGGAACAGTAAACAGTGGGATAAAATTCTTGGTTCAGGAAGCTGAGGGCCCAATTAAATAAAATGTTGCCTTGAAAATAATGGCATCTTAATTCAGTATCTAATTGTTCTTCACTGTGCCCTTGCTTCAGGAAACATAACTTGTCTTTTGCATCCCCGTGGCTAAACAAGTTTATTTTAATTGCATTGCTCCAGTAGGGAAGGCAAGGAAAGTTTTTGAATATTGCTGCTCATTAATTGGGGTTTTTGTGTCATTATCAGATAATTCCTCACACAGTTCCTAGATTTTTAGTCAGCTCTTAGCATAGAATTTAATTTGCTAGAGTCCTTTTCTCTCAGTTTCTTTCTAATTTGAAGCCACAAACCCTTTAGTGATGTGGCTGAGGATGCGACCCTGTGAAAGCACTGTGGACAGGACACAGTGAAATTTAACAGCTGAGCCACTTAAGGAAGGGAAATGCAAGGATCACTTTGCTTATTGTTCTTCTGGAGAGTACTTCCGCATTATATCTTTTCTTTTTTAAAAAAAAAGTTTAAACTCGTTCTTTCTCCTACAGAACAATGAATAATGGGAAACAGTGGCAAATGCAATGAGAAGATAGGTGCAATTCTTCTCACTTTTCTAGTGCTTATATCAATTTTCTTCCTGGGACTGTGCAGGCAACTGTCTTGGCAAAAGCAGCATCTCCACTGAGTTCAGAATAGTGTTAAGTTCAGATTTCAGAGTAGTGTTCATTACTTATCCTGACAGCCTCACACTGGATTTAGTTTTCTTGTGAAATACACTGACAAAATGAAAATCAAGCAACAATAGCAATAGCTTGTAGCTTAAAAATATAATTGCTCTTTTTTTTTTTTAAGTGGTGCTAAATTTGGTCTCTCACATCTCCTGTAGTGTTGTGTCTTGCCTTTGTTTGAAGACACCAAAATCATTGAGTACTTCTAATTTTACTTTAAAAAGAAGGTGCACACAGACTAGAATCCTGAAACTGAGAATATATACCAGGTATACCTTTCCTGAAGGAAAAGCCCTCAATGAAGCAATAGACATCTTCTGCAGACGTCAGTGCTGTTTCTGTATTTGTTATGCATGATAAAACCATGCTGTTCCTGAGCATGCAGAGAAGTGGGGTGTATTGAACTTTCTTTACTAGAAAATGTGCACCTGAAATAGCAAAATGCTTTTGAGTTTCCTGTGTCTGCCCTATAATAGCTTTTGTTTCGGACAAATCTGAAAACAGACTGTACAAAATCAGTGCAAAGCTATCATGGGGATATTTTAGAATTTATTTAATCTATTTATTATCTATTTATTTCATTTATTTATTTAATCATCGGTGGTATGCTTAGAAATAAGTTATATCAGTGATTATGATCTTGTTTTAAATGGTTTAAGAGCATTAGCCTGGCATTTGACTTCATATTTTGATCACTCAATTAATTTACCAGTGCAATTTCGATGTAGATGACTGGATCAGTGGTATGGATTGCAGGAGGCTGCCGAAGGCAGCTGTGTTAGGTGTCCTCTCCAGGCATTCCTGGTGTCAAGGGCAGCTTCCAGCCTTCTTCCACCCAGTGCAGGGGAAGACATGGGAACAGATCAGACAACAGTGGCAAGAGAAAGTTTATTGCTCTTCTACTGCAGTCAGGTGCAGGGCTCTCTGGCATGGACCCTAAATATTCCTGATCCTGGTAATTAGCAACTCTTTAGATCCCCTTTCTTCCCTCTTTTCCCATCTCCTTGTTCCCTTCCTTTACCAGTCTCATTCCCTTTCAAACAAACCAACAACCTCTTTTGATTACTTTTATTCATTACACCAGTTTTACTACATCCCTACCCAAATTTTGTGCTTCCGATACCATTTCATAGGTAATGTCAGATTTATATAAAATCACCTGAGGCTGTCATCCCTTGCAATCTTGTGTTTTCCAAAATGTCCCCAATAAAGTATTTCAGTTAAGTGTAAAAATGTAAAAACCTCACAGATTTTCCCCATAACCATCTGTGAAATCCAGCCATCCTTATGGCACATTTAATTAGTTTTTTTCACTTTATCCTGCCATTACTGTGAGGATGACAGTGTCTGCATAGGTCACCCAGGGAAGTTGTGGAGTCTCCATCTCTGGAGGTATTCCAAAGCCATCTGGACATGGTCCTGGGCAAATGGCTCAAGGTGGCCCTGGTGAGCAGGGAGGGGTTGGATCAGAGGATGCCTGGGGTTCCTTTCCACACTGAACTGGTCTGTGATTGTTGGACCTGTCACTATCAGAATATCTTATCCCCTTCTCACAGAGTGTGTCTGAGTGCTGCCAGTTGTGTGGGCTCTGGGATTCTTTTGTCACCTTCCTTCCTTCTGGCACTGGCATTGCAAGGCTGGGTGCTCTGTACTAGTTGCACAGCGGGTTTTCCGTTTTCTAAAAGCAACACAAATTAACTTCTGAATATTATTTTAATGAATAAATACAAGTCATGACTTAGAAATCTGAAATGCTCCCCACACACTTTTCATGGATAAAATGCAGGCACCATAATGTATTGATTATCAGTAACAGTAATCAGATTATGCAAATGCCTAGACTTCCTGAGTGTGTTTTGCTTCTTGGAGTTCAATGTTTGCCAGCTAAACTACATTCATCCTTTATGAAGGATGAAATATGTTTAAACAGGCTGTGAAATATTTTGATTTCTGAACCCTTCTTGCTAGTGCAAACGACCTGATACAAGATCTAAAGAGCACATAGATTTGTCCTAAAAGATGTTTAGAGATTATATACATACATATATATATATATATATATATATAACCTCTCCAATTCTCTATTTCACCAAACCTTCATTATTCAAATCTGTGCAAAAAGGTACAAGAGAATATAGGATTGAAACTTTCTCAGCTTGAGAGCATAGATTGCAGCATTTTACACACTCAGACAAGAGTGATTGCTTGGTCTAGAAAGCAACCACAAGCAGGTTCAAAGGAAAATGCTACTTGCTCTTTTATCACTTAGAAAAGGGTACATACCTGTAAAAAAATAAATAAAATTTCAGAAAACCCTCTAATCCTTAAGTGGTTTAATGGAAACTTTAATTACTATTTGACATAACTCTCGTCAGACAAAAAAATTAGGAAAAATCTCTAACATCCACTGTTACTGATTTGTTCCCTTAGTTTAATTATTTTAAAAGCTGCTATTAATATAAATATTATACATAAATATGTGGCTGACTTCAGAAGTCAAAGTTAAAATATCTCCCTGTACACATAAAAGGTCACACCTTTGCAAGCCACCCTTAGCAGGCACAATATCATCACATCTTACTTTTCAATCAAACTCTCCTTTGTTTTCTGTTTATCTGCTTTACTATGGCCAGCTGAATAACATGTTTGAATATGCCTGAACTCCCATCTCAGGTATAAGCAGGAGCTGCTTTTCTTGGTGAATTAAGCCTGTTCTTAATTTTGTGACTATTTTATGACACTGCAGGCCATTGCCAGCAAGTGAATTAAATGCTACTTTTAAAGTCAGTGATTTTTTTTTTCTCCTAAAATATAAGTATGGAATCACTATAATCAGGTGTTTCTTGGACGCCCGCTGTTAGATAATTTCTTGGGGTGTTTGATGACAATGGATAAGTCTATCTTGAGAAGAAAAATGCTCCTTTTTTCAGTGTAGATAGGTTCTGTAAAGAAGGTTTTCAGCCTTGTGGAGAATACCAGAGTAAGACTTAAATTAAGTTCTCGAGCTGCAGTTAGTCCTTCCTTATGCAGTCACCTCTGTACAATGCTGGGCATTGCCCCTGCTGAAGAGTCACCTGCACCACTTGGCTTTTGACACAGAGTCTATCTCAGTTTCTCCTGCTTGTGAACCAGTTCTGGTGCACTGGGGACGATCCCAGCATATGCCATGGCTGAGATAGCACCCTTGAGAGGGCCTCTGGTTAACATTCAGAAGAGGAAATGCAGAAGAACTGCTGGTGTTTGGTCACCAGCCTAGCTGATTGTATTTCCCAGCTGTTGAAGGATGGCAGGACCACAGGATGCTCTGGTTTCTCTTCTAACTCATCAGTTTTTGGCTTTTTCCTGTTTGTCTTATATTTAGTTGTCATAGAATGTAGGTGGCAAGTGAAGGGCACTCTTACGTTTGTTTCCTGTGTATATGAGAGATTGGGATTTCTTCTTTCTGGCACTTGCATAAGAAGTGTTGTCATCCTCAGTCAGGGAGAGGTAGGAAGCGATGCTTTCCCTCAAGCCATAGCTGAGGCAAGAGTCATCCATTGCTGCCAGGGTGCTTTTAGTATCTTCAGTCACCTCCAGCCTTTAAAAGAACAACATTTTGTTACCATTTCAAATACCTGGACTGAGCCTCTTGGGATAATATTAACAGTTGTTAACCCTAATAATGTTATTTTTGTTGTATAAAAACATTTCTGCCTCATAAATCACTAAGCATTTCTGTCACTTAGCATTTCTCAAAAAAAAACAGTACAACAGTAATATCTAAATATTTTTGACCCTTGAAAAGGAAGTATAATCTGTATTCTCTTCTAAATATGTAGGAAAAATTACCTCAGTGCTGCTCAAAATTTTCTTGCCTTTGTAAGCACATGAATGTTTTGTGAAGAAAGTGTAGTGGAAGGAAATTTACTCTTCAAAGGTAAAAAGTGCTTTTGTTTCTGAGGGTGCTTGTTTCCCCAGCTTCTGAAACCTGACCTACTTTCTCTTGCGGCAGTTGTGATATTAGAAATCTCATGAATTGGGCTGTGTGTCAAGAGAGACACAACAGGAAAGATTTATTCTTGGACAAAGTGTTCACTGCACCTGTGCTGCTTCCTGAGTGTGTGAAAAGGGGGAGCCACTTCTGCTGCCACAGCTCACCTGTGAGCCACTGCACATCAGTGGGGATGGACCAGCAGGGGTGGATGTCACTGGGCTTTGTGACTCCTGCCCCTTGGTGAAAGGACTCAGGAGTCCCAAAGGGACTGAACACATAGATAGCTGCATAGGAGAAATGATTGAATGCTAACTATATTTTCTTTCAAAGTTAAACCTAGATTATCAGTTAGAGAGCTAGGCATTCAGTTTTCATGGATTAGCCTGATGTGAGATTGTCCAAGATATAAAAATGCTTTCAGGAGAAGGAAATAAATAGCTGTGTCTTCTGTGTTGCAAGTACAAGTATGTGCACAGCTGGGAAACACCCCTGTTGTTTCTGGCAGCCTGTGCTGTATGTGGTACCTGTGAATGTTCCTCCAGTTGAAATTTTTATTCCGCATCACCACAGGGGGAACTGGATCCACCACGGTGTTGTTGTTAGTGCACTGGGTAAGACACGGTGTTGTAAGGACACAGCAGAGACCATCAGCAACTTCTGAACAGGAAAACGAATACACAGACAGTCAATCTTTGCTAACTGTTTTCTTTCCCTGGTGCATCCTCAAATAAATAGTTTTAGATTCAGCAGTAGCAGTCAAAAATTGTGTGTTCTCAGCAAGGACACAGTAACACAGGCTTAATTTTTCCTTTCCTCATACCTTTGCCTTTTAATTTTTCATTGAGTATATTTCATACAGTAGAACTGAGGAACTGAGACACAGAAAGTGACTTGCTCAAAGACTAGAAGGAATTTTGTGACTGAGCAGAAACTTAAACCCAGTTTTTCTGAGCCTTCAGTGAGATTTGTTTTGCTTCCTATTGTCTCAGCCATGCAGATAGAGCAAAAAGATTAGACTGGATTGTGTGGGTACATTCTCTTCTGTGGAACATGACTGTGGAATGAATCGAGGTTCACATGTTACTTTTATCAGTGTTTCTGTGCTCTACCCTCTTCTTGCTCCACTAGGAACATCACAGATACTCTTCTGCCCAAGCAGAGAACTCATGGCTAAATGCTGCTGTTCTATGACTCTGAGTCTTATTTCAGAGTGAGATTCTGTATCTTCTCATGGTGGGAGGAGACCTAAATCTAACTATGTCTCCTCTTACACCTATAACTCAAGTAAAAATGTTAATTGTTGCAAGTTTTGGGTTCTGCTCCAGCCCAGATTTTAGGCACTGATTGTTTTCTTCGTTCTAAATGGTGAAAGGTGTCAACTAGTTAACATGTAAACATATATATCTCCTGTCCAAGTTCTTACTCCTCTCTTTATATCATTGGACTTGAAAGTTTCATTTGCTTGTTTTGAATGTGAATGACTTTTTTTCTCAGTTTATCAGTGTACTCTTTGGCCATCACACTTTTACTTGTGAAATACTTAACTATGGGAACTTCACACTTTTAAAATTACAGAAAACCCATTGCTTTTTAAAGTACAGAACTTATTGTTCTCTCGTAACTTTTAGGCAATTAGTTTTTTGCAATTTCCTTTCTCATTTTAGAATGTTGTCATTATGATGCATGGTAACTGCAGCCACTTAATTGTGTCATTTGTCAAGTTACCTTTCTGGCACAGGTTAAATTGCTGTAAATCTGAAAAACTATCATTGAAAATGGTGTCATCCACTGGACTGATAGTAATGGTGACAGCTGACTCTGCAATTGAGCTAACAGCTTGAGCCTCTTGATATAAATTCTGCTGATAAATTCCTGCCATACACTTCTTCTGAAGTGACAGGGAAGAAGCTTACAACATTTCTGAAAATTTTCTACTGCAGATAAGATTGTGTACTGTAGTGGTTCTTTAAGAAAACATGAATAGAGCATCTGATGTTGCATGCCTTGAATCCATCTGCCTGCCTAAATGGCAAATAAATGAATGGCAGACATCTTCATGTTGGCAAACAGAGTCAGCCAGGAGTTGCAATCTGTCTCTGGAACGAGTACATGGCTTCTGTACAGCTGAACATTTTTGTATGCTCCCACTTTGACTTTAGATGTGTTCTGAAAGGGGCTGGGCATCCCTGACCTGTGCTGACCTCCAAACTGCATTTGGAAGTTTTCTAGGGAACCACTAGACCCTGGTGTCTGGCTCAAACAGTGTTATTGACATGGCCATACAATATCCTACACAATATCATCAATATCATACAAAACACCAATACAGACAGAGCCTATCTGGCCTCATTTAGCTGAGTTCTTGTATTGATTTTAGTTCTACTGTTAAGGGCAGCATATTTTTATTTAGGATGAAAAATAAAGTAAAATATATAAACCTAAACTTTTTCCATTGCTTGTTCTGTGATAGTATTTGCAAGTCTTGGACATAGGCAAAACTTCTTGTTCTAGACCTTTGACAGATAGTTTTACAGTTGCAAGTGGAAAATATGTTTTTTCTGCACTTATATTTACCTGAGTAGTGATTGACAAGGTCTTCAAGGCACTGGAAGGTTTGCCGTGGGGAGATGTAATACCAGTTATTGGGGAGGCGGAAGATCCTGTAATGCTTCACTTGCCTGTGCCTCACTGACAAGGAATATAACCCTGGAGAGACAGAACAACGAATTACACCAACATAGGGCTGCAGTTCTGGCTGGCTATCTGCAGCAGAATAGAGGATCTGTAAGATGTGATGCCATTACTCAAAACATCTTAGAAATAGCTGAAAAACCCTGAGTTTCAGACAACAACCCTGAGTTGTCCCTGACCACAACCCAGGGGAGTGGTCACAGCACCAAGCCTGAGAGAATTCACAAAGAGTTTGGACAATGCTCTCAGGCACATGGTGGGATTCTTGGAGTGGTCCTGTGCAGGGCCAGGAGTTGGACTCAGTGATCCCTGTAGGTCTCTTCCAACTCAGAACATTCTATGATTCTGTTTCTATGTCCCCAATGAAGAAAATAAAAGTATAAAGTTGATACAGTATAATTCCCATGTAGCAAAAGAAAGAAAATAAAATTGAAGACCAGTCATTTTTTAAAATAAATAAAAGATCTCCCTTGTTTATATAGTAAACACATTTATCCACCACTCCCACTGCTTTGTGTGCGTTTTGCAACTTCTTGAATCAATCTTTTGTGGACCAAGGCAAAGCTATGACTTTTCCTTCATTGAAAGTCCCACTGCCTCATAAGGTTTGCATGCAACCAAAGTAAATAATAGTGTTTAAACAACTGTGTCTTGTTTGTGCTGATGCCTGTGGAACTTTCCATGGCCATCAATAACCCTGTTTCCAGTAGGTGACTGGTAAAGGCTGGCACACTGCACTGGGTGCATTCACCTTCCCATTATATACCTTTTCTGGTTTTGGACTGATCCATATGAAGCAGGACAGGGAGTGAATTAAAGAGCTGTAAAACTGTTAATGCCTGAGATCAAGAGGGAAAAAATCTTTATTGTCTCACCTTTCCTAGTTTCACTCTCTCTGATCATGAAGGAGCCGACTTTGGTATTGGGTAGCTGTAGAAGTTCCTCTGCCTTTTCTCTTCCCAGCCCTTCAAATAACCAGCTGTGAAGCAGGAAAAAACAAATTCTGAAACTTGGACACCAGTAAGACAGTGAGCAGCATGTGGCTGTGAAAGTGCTGCATTAGCCAGGAAAAGTGACTGCAAAAATAACACTGTGGCTTTCTATAGTTATTCTCTCAACTACCTTCAGGCATATTTCCCCAGTTTATGGAGAAATTTTGTTGATTTTGAGTTCCATTAACCTTTGTGAGGTTAATAGAAGAGTAAAAAGGTTTGGAGTTATTAGGGAAAACAAAACTTTTTGAGCTGCTTTGATCTGTATTGCTGGGGACAGATTCATATTATATATTGATGACATCTGTGGCATTAGTTATGTCTCTCTTTTCATTTAAACCACTTTTGTTAACCCCAAATTGTATCATAAATAAACCCTAAATAAGTTACAATTATTTTGCTTCTTCTAGGGGACAGTTTAACCATTTAAGTTAATGGACTTTATGGGTAAAGGAAAGTGGAATTAGCCCTACAAATTTTCACCAGAACTTGGTGCACTGCTGTGTTTTTGCCACAGCCAGTGTCTCACCATGCATCTGGGCTTGCTCAGCTCTTCTAGAGTTACTGGCATTCTATTTTAAAGTTGTTTTTCTGTGTTTGATCCAGTCTGCTGTCATTGAAGTTTCAGACAGTAGCTTCCATTACCCCACATCTGTGCCCTGCCTTTGGGAAGGCATTGCAGTTTCAGGAGGATGTAAAAGCATGTTAAAATTTAAGTACTTGCATAGTTCACAGTGACATTCACAGTTCATATCCTTAAAATTAAACAGGTATTAAAACATTTGCCAGAAAACTTTTAAGTATGTGCTTTAATGTTTTGTTGGGTTTTTTTTGGTTTTTTTTCCTGAGTGGTGTCTATGGTAACAAGAAATGTCTGAAATTTCCTTAGTTCTTCCAGTGAGAAAGTTTACATTCTTGAATGACTTATTAGCATTTCTATTTGGTCTTTTTGACCTGTTTTCCATGAGCAAACCTAGCTAAAATTTTACTCTATGTAAGTATTAAAAAATCATTCTAAATAGCCTCTCTTCGTCAATGTCTTTAAGTTGGAGATCAGTCCATGCAACAGATGTATATTAAATAACTTATCTGTGATTTGAGGTGGTTTTGGCTCTTTCCAGCATTTAAAAGAAGGATTTTACTTTTCACTTAGTTTAAATTTAAATTTGGATTTTCAAAAGATGTATTTTAGACTGTCAATAAATAAAATTTGTCTGTCAAGTCACTATTGGCATTTTTTGGACTATGACTCTGAGTAATCAGAGGAGAATCTGTAAAAATGTGGTGTTGGAAGGCTATGGAAATGCATTTACTTACCCATGATAAACCTTTGCTACATATTTTCCTGGAATATAGTTTTCTCGACCTGTTGTAAGAGAATGGACTCTCCACCAGCCTCCTTCACTGTGTGAAAACAAGAGAAGGGACATTCAGAAAGGAACTCTGTTTGGTTTCATTTAGAGTAGTTCCGTTTCTAAACCTACTTGAGAATTAAATTTGGACACAGAAATAAGCTACATTTGTTCCATTTAAATTATGTAAGTAATAAAATATTTTTCTGTAGTTGAAAGAAGAAGGATAAATACTCAGTGGTTAAACCATGCTGTGCTCTGCCTTCCCACAGCTAGACTTATACTGGTGTCCAAGATATTCAGTTTACAGCTGAGTGTGTTGTGTCTGGACAGCCCCATAACTCCAGGGTAGAGGTTCCTGGGAAATGGAGCCTGTCTGCTTGGGAACAGGCTGTCAGTTCAACAGAACCTGCTTTGTGGTTTGCTTTTTTCCTTGTCTTCCATGAGCTGCAGACCAGACTCCAATAAATAGACCTTGCAGCTGAAGCTGCAGGTATGTGTTTTCCCCAATATACCTTAAGTTAGTGCTGTGATACTGGCTTTGACTCTTGAATCCCTTCAGAAATACAAGGTACTAAGAATTTGCACAGGGATGCTGCAGAACTTTACTTGTAGTGCAAGGATGCTGATGACTGATGGGTTCTTTGCACCTTCACTTTAAGAGTTTGAATCCAAATGACTGTGTCTTGTGTTTGAATGCTGTTTTTGTGGATGTTCATATAAATGATTCCAAAATAATGTCTAGACTCAGATCAGAATCTCAGTATGTGTCAAAATAGCTGTGTTGAAATCACACACACAGAATGTCATGAGCTATAGCTGCTGGGAACATTGTCTAGAATGTTTGTGCTGAGGGAAAAGGGGAAGTATCAGCTCAGAGCTGGAAATTTCAAGGTCCTGAAAGTTTTGCGTTTGGTTTTTCCAGATGAAATTAATTTATCTATGAGAATTTTAGGTTATTTTTGTCTTTTTTCCCCCAGAACTCTCCTAGACAGAACCAAGAATTGCAATAAGAAACAAAAACAAACTGAGAGATTCGTCATCTCTCTCCCTCCAAAATAACCCTGAAAAATCCTTATGATGATTAAAAAATCCCAAAGCAGCACATGTCTCCTGGGCAGGAGCTACAGAAATTGTGTAGATTGGGGCAAATCTTAGAGGACATTTGATTTGACTTCTGCCAGCCAAATGCAGTTTATCTGTGCCTGACCAGTGTGGAGAGTGAGAAATTGCCAGTGGTGCTTATATAATTCTGCCAACCCAGAGCAGTCACAAGTATCTGTAAGGAGCTGATTTCCTATGGAGGTTCCATATGTCCTGTTCCTGGCAGGATTGCTGGGGCTGATTGCCACTACACATCACCATTTTGGTAGAAGGCTGAAAAGCTGCTGTTGTAAAAGCAGTACAAGCTGCTGCTTGTGCTGACTCCTCTGTGGTGACTCCTCATCACTTGTTCTCTGGTCATGCAACATTACTCTTCTTTTTTACTGTATTTTACTTCTTTGAATGATTTCAGAAAAAGAATTACAGCTTATGAGCAGGAAGAGGCTTCAGGCAAACAATTCCCACTGACATTAGCACATACTCCCAGCAGGTCCTTCATCAGGACACTGTGGTTTGCACAGTGTTGGACTGTCTCGTCTTCTGTGAACAAGCTCATTCAAAATAAGAAGAAAGTTCCCATCAAGGCTTGCTTTGGATCTAATTTATCCATCAGGAGAAGCCCTTGATCACTGCACAGCAGACAAACGTCAAAAACTTCTTCTGCCAAAGCCTATTCTTTTAGAAGTTGTTCCTGCAGTAGATGATACTTTGCAGTCTATGTGTACAATATACCACACATGTAATTCCCATTGAGATGGGAATAGGCAGTCCTGTGGTGGTGTGAGGGCCTGTAGCTGATGAAATCTGAGAGTGAGGCTTTAAGCTGGAATTTCCAAGCTAAAGCAGTTGTTGTACCATGTCATGTATTTTCTGCAAACTGCAGCAAGGTTTACACTGCTAGAAGCTAGCAGAGAAGAATTCCCCTGGTTTAGAGGAGCTCTCCATCAGCAGAAAATTTATGCAGTGGCATTGTCTGAGTCTTGGGACCCTTAGGTTCAGGGAGGCAGAGAAAGCGCTGTGTCAGCGGAACATAAGTGCAGCCATTTGGGGTCAGCCTGTGACTGACAAAGGCCACTGCAGGTCATGGTGGCCTGGAGGAGTCTGAGAATTCATCAGTCATCCGTGATGCTTCTCTTGAGTACTTCTCTCCTCCAGCCATTTGACTATCTGGTTGAGAATCTTTAAAAATTATTTTAAAAGTCCTCCAAGGATTTCTCTGCTATTAATGTGTCTGGTCTCCCTTTGAATCCATCTGCTAAACCCGATGCAAAAAAAATTTTTCATTTCATTTTGAGCACTGCAAACAGTGGCTGTGGGGCTGAGTAACTTCCAGGAGGTCACTGTGTGCTGATACAAGCTGTGCCTAACAGAACATCAGGGCTGCTGGCTTCCATTTTTCTGTATGTGTGCTCATTCTTATGTCTGGTAATGTTGCACTGTGGTTAAGGTCATTCTGAACTAGTGTTTTTAAGCCTACTTACTTCTGGGGCTCTTAATTTTTTTGAGTGGAACTGGCTGAGAAATCTCTCTTTTTTTCCTCACTAAGAAAATGCATAATTGATTAAAAAACAGAAATACCCCCCTATTTTATTTTATTTTTTTACATTTGCTTTAATGACAGACACACTTGACATAAAGAAATTCAGAGTGACTTGCCTTTTCTATTTGATTCAAACTATTTTGGCTCTTACTCTGTTTTCCATTACATTTGGGGAATACTTTCTCATAATCATTTTTCAAAGCAGAATTGTTCTGAGTCTTGTTTTAGAATAGAGTTTGAATCCATCTTGAGAAACCTAAGAGAAATCTATGGATCAAGGACATTTTTAATCTCAAATCCTGAAACTACGCAGAAATTTACACTATGGCTAAGCATCTTTCCTTGAAAATTCTGAACTCAGTTCATTTTACATTTCATCCAATTTGGTCCAAGTGCATAAAACAGAGCTTTGTTTCAGTTATACTAAAACTAATTTAAAAAAAAAATTGATCAACTTACTCTGATAGCACACGTAGTTTTTCCCCTACATGAAATATAGGTTGGCTTATGTCTGCTGAAGGATAGTCATGGAGAACAGCCAGGAAGTCACTCTCCTGACCTGTGAAAAAAGAAAGAAAAGGCCACTTAAAGGTAGAGCTCTGAGACAAAAATGGATTTTTCTTTGAGGATGATAGATTTTATGTAGTAGGTCAAATAGGGAAAAAAATCTCTGAAATGTCACTTAATAAATGTAAGGAGCTAAAGAAGAGCCTATAGATTTATAAGAAGACTGTGAAGATATTAGAAATGAAAAAGGTCATGTGGTTAATTGTAAGCAACTAAATTCAGACCAATTTTTCTAGCAATTACCATATTTAAAGGACATATTCAGTTTGAAACGAAAAAATTAGTAATTATTTATAGTGTTAGGAAGTAACCCAGTTTGAGTAATGCCACTGTCTCTAATTGCCTCCAGCTAAATTTCTGTAGTATTATATTTAAGAAAAGGAAGATGCATGTTGAATTGTTTCATGATTTTACACCACTGATACTTTTCAATGGTATGAAATCAGTTTAGATCAAGATCAATGAGAGTGTGGCCATTACTGCCCATTTCCATCACTTTTTTAATCCTTGATGATCAGCCACTGCACTTTGTTGTCACCATTGCATGGAGACTGTACTAGAGCTTCAGTGAAAGAAAACAGGCACAGGGGTGTTTAGGTTGAAACCATTGTACAATGGCAATTTGCAGAGCTGAGGTCAGCAAAGAGATGAGAAGACCTTTTATTATCAGCTGGGATGAATCTGGGACTTGGACCCTGTATAGGACAGGTTCACTCTTCTGTGTCTCTAAGCGTGGAGCACTTCACACAAGACTGGGACTATCAAACATGAACTGCTCCTCATCCTGCTGGAATCTCTGGTGCCCAGTAAATGCTGACAGAGGGGAGACTCAGAAATGTCATGGTGGGTGTTTTGGGCTCTTTGTCACAAGTCCTGGCAAGAGGGATTGTGCCATACACTGCCTGTGTTTCTCCTGGAAGCAGTTCCTACCTTCTGTGATCTCAGTCATCTCAGTGTGATCACCCTCCATGATCTCACAGGGAGACAGAGCTTCCCTCTGCTTCCACCAGGATCAGCACCCTGATCCTTAGGAACACCATCTAGCACTGCATTTGCAGAGGTTGTTTGATCTCCATACTTCCCACTCTGTGCAGCCCAGCATGTGCAAAAATGAATGTGAATTCAGGGTAAGAAAGAAAGAAATTAGATAGAGAGATAGAAACACTTGTGTATCTTGTTAGTTTTTTCTCATTTACTATAGATTTGTTGCCAATTTCTCTTTAAGGAAGATAACTTTTGGGGGAAACCTAGGGGTAACACCCTGAATGAATGGTCTTTGTTTTTAGCTATGTGTCTCAGGGCCTTGGAAACAACTGACAGAGGTAACAGTAAAAGGCTGAGGGAAACATGAGGAAAAGAAACACAACAAGTTACCCAGAGAAGTTGTGGAAGTGTTTAAGGCCAGGTTGGATGGGGTCTGAGCAACTTGATCTAGGAGATGGAATCTCTGCCCATGGCAGTGAGAATGGTATTAGATGATCTTTAAGATCCCTTCCAAGCTAAACCATTCTATGATTATTTTGAGAGTGGGTTTAATACTGGTATTGCCATGATTTTCTAGGTTGATTAGTGTCACTGAATTAAACTGGACTAGTCCAGTACAGCCAGCCACTGTGATTAGTCTAATACAACTTATTAGACACATAATTCAACTCTGTTGAAGAAATTCTGTGCTAAGCCTTTGATGGCTTCCTTGTTCTGCACAGAAAACCTAGTGGCACCTTCCTGTCTATGAAGCTACTTAGTGCCTGAGGCTAGTAACACCTAAGAATTTTTTGAGATTTTTGAGCCTTTTTTGATAAAACAAAGTCTTTACCAGGACTACTAGAAGAAATAGAGGCCAGAAGATGCATTTTAAAAAAACAAAATTAAGATAAAGTGCCATCACTTAATTTCTCATTGCAGGTTATAAAACATCATGCAATACTACATTGAATCATTGACTATAATTATTTTTAGCTTAAGGACAATTAAAGCCTTTAGCAATGCTTTTTAAAAAAAATTATGCTGTTTATTTAGAAATATTCTGCTTCCATAGTGAAAGAGTGGAAAATCAGTGCTTTTCTGCTCTCCTTCCTTGTGTACTGGTCATTTGCATTTTGTTATGCACTGTGGGGTAAGTGACTTTTTGTCTGCTCCAGCATCCAGCAAGATGTGTGTTACTTTGCTTACATTCTCATATTTATATTAATTTTGGTTTCAGTTTTGCATGTTAATTTGTAGTTCTGAAAAGGAAGGAATACATGAGAGTGTTATCTTCTACATCCATGCAAATGTTACCTCTTAAACTACATACAATTATATTAAAGTGCAAGGAAAGGAGTGAACCCCCTCCTTCTTCACGTCATTTTGATTGGTATTTAAGTCAAACCTCGCTGGGTTTTTTGGTCATGCAAAATACCCACCACACTATACAAAATTTCACAGAACCCATACCAGCTCCTTACAAACACAAAAGCCTGGAAACAGGAACTAAACAAATTACACGCTTTCTCCACGCCTAAATTTCACAGTGATCTAATAGATTTGATCTGATGAGCTCCCCACACTTTTAAGATATAAAAGAAAAAAGATTTGCCTGAGTTTATCTAACACAAACTCTCCTACCCAGTGCAAATGTAGGTTACATCTGAAATGGAACAACTCAAAAGTTAGAGTGGAAAGATCGAAGCACAATCATTTCCACTGCATCAGGTGTTAATTCTGGTGGTTTTTCTAGGAGTAGGAAATGAATGTGAAATACATGCTAATTTTAGATGCCTTTACACCCTCATGTGTTGCAAAGTGGGAGACTGAATACTGTATTCTTCAAATTATAAATTGGGAATGGACTATGAAGCATTATTAGAGTAGAGGGAGCATAGGCAGAGCATCCAGATCCAGCTCATCACCCTCAAAAATCTGCTGTGCTGTGCACTGACGTGGTCCATGTCTGGAGTGAGAATGAACTGTTTGGAGTTGAGCTCCATGCATCATCCAGCTTTACTGGCCAGCAGAAATATTATGATTTATGGCATGGGGTGCACCAGAGAGGGTGAAGGAGGGCACTCATGTGAATCTGGGAAACTGTGCAGCACCACAAGGTGTGGCTGCAGAGTCACACTTTGGTACCCAAGCTAGATCTAAACCACCCAGCTTGGGAACTGAGAGTTGTGCAGGTGCAGCCCAAAAGGATTAACCCTTGATTCAGGGTCCCAAAGAAGGACAGAGAGGGGCTCACAACCCTTGATGACCCCTTGCTGTTCTGCTTGCTCTGTCATCAGTCCCTGGGTTGTGCCAGGAATGCTGTACAGTGTGCTGGCAGTGGGGTGCAGTTGTCTTTGGGGTCCAAATGCCTCCTTGGGAAGCAGCTTATACACTGCTCCTTTTCTCAGGGCCAAGACTGGCACACTGGTGGTGAGGAAAGCACAAGGTTTTGCTTTCAGTGCAAATTTCAGGCAGCACCAGGGACTCATAAGGGTCTGATGAACACTGCAGACCAAGTCTGCAGACTGCAGTTATCTGTTTTCTTCCCCCTTTTTGTTGGAAACTCTTTCCTTTCATTCCTTCCCTTCTGTTTCTGTACTTCATTTTATTCAGTCTCACTGAAATGAGCCAGTGTCAAACCTACTTCTCCTAATAACTATTTCAACTATTGAAAGTCCATGGATTGGATCCTCTACCCCACTTAAATCAAGTCTGTTCCTGGCCTAGTGGAAATGTTCTGTGTTTTGTGATGTGATTTGGAGTTTGATCTGCTCAGGGAGGCATACAGATACAAACTCACTGGATGAACCCCAATACACACTTTGGTACCAGGTCCATTTTTAGAAGCCTTTTTTCATTGGATTTGGATGACAGTACTGAGTTTGTATTCCCGACTTTCATTAAGAGCATTTCATGAAAGATGCTGGTCTGACCCAGACTAAGAGATGAATGGATCCAAAGAGCTATTCAGGCTGATAAATCCTAAAATCCTAGAATAGTTTGAGTTGGAAGGAACCTTTAAAGGTCATCTAGTCCAACCCTCTGAAATGAGTGGGGACATCTTCAACTGGATCAAGTTGCTCAGAGCCCTGACCACCCTGACCTTGAAAGTTCCTAGAGGTGGTGCATCTGCCACCTCTCTGGGCAACCTGGTCTGGTGTTGCACCACCCCCATCATAAAAAATTTCTTCTTTATATGTAATCTAAATCTACTCTACCTTAGCTTAAAACCATTATCCTTTTCTGTATCACAACAAGCCCAACTAAAATGTCCATCTCCATCTTTTATATAAGTCCTCTTTAAGTATTGAGAACTGCAGTAAGGTCTTCCTGGAACCTTTTCTTCTCCAGGCTGAATAACCTTAACTCTCTAGACCTTTTCTCACGGGAGAGGTGTTCCATCACTGATCATTTTTGTGACAACCTTCTTGCCTTTGGATGATTAAACATAGGTATATGATGCAATTTCAGCTGTGAGAGTGTCTGAGACATCCCTACAGCCTTGGCAGGCACCACTGCAATTTCAGGACATTTGTCCTCTCCCCAGGTGGTAGCAGGAGGTCAGCTAGGACTAACAACACCCCTTGCTAGATGTGTAGGACAGTTCAAGTAGATTGTGTCTTGAATTACTAAGTAGATATTTTCGCCTTGTAACCACTGTGCTATCAATGTTTGCAGATTGTCTTTTATGGATATGTTCTATTTCCATCACAGAAAGGGTTACAGTTGTTTTTAGCCCTGCTAAATCCTGACTTCTGGCATGTGCAGGACCATACAAACTTGGTCACTGCCATGGCATGGCTTTGAGGGAGTGCATATCTCTGTTTTGGTGTTTCTATGTGGTATTTGTGTCAGCAGTTGTTGGGAGTATCAACATAAGACACTCTTCTTCACCAAAAAAAAAAAAAAAAAAAAAAATTAGCAATATGCTGAGTAGCTTTTGGCCTCTGCTGTTAGGACTGGGGGCTGCATGGCTACCCATGTCAGTGAGTTCCTTACCATACTAAGAGCAGGGCCGGGTTTCCTTGCAGCAAAAATGAAACCATGCTGATTTCCTATCCTTATAATAATGAGCAGCCCAATCAGAAAATCTTTCATGGGAAAACCCCGAAATTAAAAAACAAAACAAAACAAAACAAAACCAAAAAAACCAACAAAACCTACTATAAAAAAATCCATTGCAAACCCAAAGAAATAAACCCAAACTGCTTTTTCCTCTTCACCTTTGGGGAGTGATTTATTACAGCTCTTGTGCCAGCTGCCTGTGTTAGTGCACCTTGAGGGCTGAGGCTCTACTGGCTCTCTACCCACTCACTCACAGTTTGTAGTAGCTGATCACCAAATCCCTCTTCCTTTCCCCCACAATGCATGACCTCTACCAGCCTACAGAGGTGGCAGGGAGGATTTGCAACCTGATTTATTCACGTGTGGATGCAGAGGGCAGATGCATTATATTATTCTTTGGCAGCTTGCCCTCTGAAACTTGAATTCCTCTATAGCCTTTATGGATAAATCTGGTGACAGGTTGGCTGTGTGCTACTTTTAATGCAATTATCTGAAATGAGGTTCAATGCAATACATCATTAGAACTTTTGACCTTAAATGAAGGAACCCCAAATTTCAAGAACAAATTTGTATAAAATATCACATGCAATTATGTCAAAACACAGCATTCCTGGTTTCTGAAGCAGCAGTTCTGTGCTTTCTGATTTGGAAGGAACGTCTTTCAAGGAGCACCAGCAAATAATACGTTTAACATTTGGAGTTTTTAATTAACGTGCTTCTTGGAAAACGAGCTAAAACGTAGCTAAATATAGGCAGTGTCTGGTGGATGCCCTCCTTCTCCCACAGCAGCCGTGCACTTGCCTGCTCTCGTCAGGAGGGTGAAGAAAGACACATGGCTGTGTCTATCATATATCGCGAGCATCTTTTTCTCTGGAAAGGAATGAAATGAGTGCTTACCCGTTTGGCTCGGCGTGTTTGTCTCCTCGGGTGCTCTTGGAGTTTTCACAGTATTTCCCATTGTGCTCGATAATTCCGTCAAAGTTCTTCGGAACTAAATCAAAGCAGACATTGAAATTTAACATCACAACAACACCTGCTGTGCTAACAGATGAGAAATGACCTAGTTTGGGCGTCTCCAATTCCGTGCAGTTTTGCTTTTGAGAACTCTGGTGTCAAATTCATGCAAGATTTTTACATACTTGCTAAACTCTCGCCACTTTTGTGCTTTTATCAGGGGAGTAGCAGAAAACCACAGCTAGGGAAGTTGCTCAGAAGAACATGATGCAGTAAAAGTTTCCATTACCAGTACCTCAGCACAATAGGAAGTAACAGCAGGGCTGTGCTCAAATGGGCATCTCGTATACAAAATGTTTTTTCCAGCATTTGGAGTTCTGAGGCTACAAAGGATCTAATTAGACTAACGTCCCTGATTTTCAGCACTGTGTGTATATTATGTTGGTTTACTACTGAACACAAAGAACATAGCTTGGTAGGTTTGGGGTTTTTTTTCTGATGCAATTGTGCCCTCAGCAAATGTGGGCAAATTTTTTTTTAAGTAACACCTTGCCTAAAAAAATGTTTGATTTCAAATCAGTCCTCCTGCATAAAGCCAGCTGTGCAAATTCTTCAGATACTTGTCTTAAAGTTTTGATGGATGTAAAAGAAACAGTATCATACAATTGTGGAACTAAATACTGTGAGGGGAACAATTCCTACTCATAGTTTTGCTGCAGCCATCCTAATTCTGACAAAGGACAGAGAGATAAATATTTTGAATTTGGAAGGTGTATCATGCTATGGTATTTTTTCAGAGGCAGAAGACAAAAAGCTATATCTATTTAAAAACTGTACATTAAAGGAAAATAACACCACCATCTGATGAGTAATTATTTTTTAAAAATGTATTTCTGTCCATTGCCCTGTGAAAATGATAACATGAGCTCTAGTAGCATTGTGTAAGTATTCTACATCTTGTGGACTTTTACATATTTCAAAGATGATTACTGACTTTGGTGTGCTGCTCTTCATTTACACATACTAGAGCCTGATGAGGGTCAGGTGGAGAGATGTCCAACTTGAGAAGTAAAACCGCTGACATCAGCAAGACTTTATTGCTAATTGTCTTTTGGAATAAGATTGGCAGGATTTCAGTATGTTGATTAATACCATAAATTTTTAACGTCTTACAGACAGTTTAGGAAGACATCCTACAGGATAAAATGCCATTCAAGGAAAATAAATGTCGTCCCTTATGGAATGCAAGGAGCTCAGTGCTAGAACAGATGGTACTGCACAGTTTGACTCCACCTCATCTGCTTTCCAAGCTTCTTAGTGCTGCTTCCAAAGGCTCTTTGCTAGAATTCTCTATTTCACTGGCACATTACCCCTTCACTTTATGTACTCAGAGCTGGCTTGTGGCACATCTGGAGGGTGCAGCTGTGCCAGTGTCTTTCTGACAAGCATCTGAAACCTGCTTTCACAAGAACAAAAATGTGTTGCCCAATAGGAGAAGTCTAGTAAGCTGAATAAAACAGCACCTTTAAATTTAAATAAACTACTTGGGTATTCTCGTTTTTAAAAAAGGTCTCTTGATAGAAAACAGAACAAAAAAAAATCTTTCTCCATGTAAATGCATCTAAATTTCTAAACCTGAAACCAGAATTCACATTGTCAGGCAATGTCTTCTTTCAAGATCATAATTTTCTGATCTAAGTATGAGTATTTTTCTGCAAGACCCAGTTTTAACTTGTTCAACATTTTTCTTGTATCCCATAAAGAGCAAGAAGTAAACCCATAGGAATAGTGCAGCCAGTATTTTGGCTACAGATACTATCGATGTTCATGGCTCATCTTCAGATTAGCCTGAAAAATTTCCTGGGCACAGCAACAGAGAGCTCAACAGGGCTGAAAATGTCAGCCAGGAGAGTGAGATAAATACCTGGACTGATAATCTCTGCTGAGCTCTGTGCTCTGGTAGATGCATTTTTGCAGTAATTTAAAAGGGCAGCTCAAATCTTGCTCAGAGTAGAATCTAAGCTGGAGTTACCAAAAATCTTGTGCAATTCCAGGTAGATGGCAAGAATGACAGCATAAATATCTTATGTCCATCTATAATTTTGACACATGAAATTGATATTTAGATGAGAATTGCTTGAATTTTGTGTCCCAAAAGTCTGAAAAAAAACCCCCAAAACTCTTACCTCTAAGTATCACTTCATGCTGGGTTTTGTTATTTGAGGGCCAGGAGAGCAAGCCATCCTACAAGTGTCAGACTTGTGACCAGTGGCCTTTTCCCTACTCCTAATTTCGGGTGGGCCTGAGCCTCTTTGGAAAGTGATACGTAGTATTTGTGCATGGTGAAAAGACTTCTGAAAATTTTACTTCAGGCTTTCAATCTTTCTAAAAGCACGGCACATTTCACCAAGGCACTTACATTTTTCTAGATGGAATTTACGGATCTGAACTCTAAATGCTGCTTTAGAAATACCTGAAGTGTTTCTGCAGGGTTGCTTATACATCGTTTGCAATTAAACCACAGTCAAGTTCAGAGGGATTAAATACTGGACAACAAGCAAGTTCCTACTTTGTATTTTTGCAGAGCACAGCCTGGTTCCCTCCTGCCATACCAGAGGTCCTTTGAGAAAAACATCCCATTGCTGTTCTCAAAGGACCTCTGAAGTCATCAGGGCATAACGTGCAGCTCCATGCTGTGGCCTTAGATGTGGAAGAATCTGACTTGTGGAAAATGCAAACGTTGTGAAGCACTTTCCGTAGAGAGAAGAGCAGTGACGTCCCGGGCTTTGCCGTCATTAACGTGCCAGTTTGCTCTTTCTCATTGCATTTTCCGTGCTCTTTTACTGGAACTACTGTTGGTGGCATAAAGTCGTGAAAGGAACAGAGAGTTCAAGATGCTCTCCAGATTCACAACAGAAGCGCTCAATAAAAATTTTAAAAATGAAAAGTTCTGACCCTTGCTGCTAATTCACTTACCCGAAGTGACTAAAAGGAAAATGAGACATCAGACTAGGTTTTACTGCTAAAGACTGCATTATGCACATGATCAGAGTGAAGGTTCCTGTAGTCCAGTCAAAGGTGGTGGAAGTAAATGAAGAGATATGACTCTACATTCAGATGTTGAAAATGGGACATGGAAGTTTTGTTTGAAATAAGGCAGGCAAAAATTGTTTCTACTTGATTGCTGGCAATGGCATATCACTGTTTCAAGAGTAAGAATGTACAAATTAGTCATATTTCTAAAACAACAGTGTGCTTTACTCTCAAGTGAATGATAGAACCTGATGGCTTAAGTAGTTTGGGCTTGTGTTGAGTTTTTGTCAGCACAATACAAATCCATTCCATCGCTGCATGACAAATTCTTGTGTGGTGTTTTGAAATTTTGAGACACTCTGCAAAACTAGACTTACTGGAAGCTTTAAAGATCTCGTGAACCAATTATTTTCATTTAAACCAATAGAAGAACAGTAACAATTTTATAGATTATAATCTTCTGAAAGAGCAAATTTGCTACAGGTACTGCACCTCACTTCACCTTATTGAATCATAGAATAATTTGGGTTGGAAGGGACATTTATAGGCCAATCAAGTCCAACCCTCCCTCCATGGACAGGGACATTTGCAATGAGATCAGGTTGCTCAGAGCCCTGTCCAACCTGGCTTTGAATGTTTACAAGGATGGGGTATCTAACACCTCTCTGGGTAAACTGTGTTTCACCTCCCTCATTGTAAAAACTTTGTTTCTTATATCTAGTCTTGATGACAGAGTTTGGGAAACAAGTAGAAGTGCCATCCTTCCATCACAGAAGCAGATAATTATGCCACATCCAAAGAAAATAATTCCCTGAGACTGATGCAGGAAGAACTAAAGAGAAATTATAGACTCTAAACTCACTGTGTCTTATCTACCCCAACCCTGCATGGAGTGCAGCTGCTGTTCAGCTCAGAGGAACCACTGGGCTGCTGGGAACTAAAATCTACCTACAGCTCTACTGCTCACCAGTCACCTCCTCAGGTTTGCATGAAACTTTGGTTTTTAACTATTGAGATCACATTTACAGTGTTCCAAGCATTGGTCTTTCCTCCTCTTCCCTTTCCACTTGTGCAGTGTCCAAGGAAAGATGTTTGCACACACAGTTATTAGGGCTTAGTGATCTTTGCTGCCAAAAGGAATGTGAGGAAACATCCACAGTCCCAGTCCTGCTTTATGTCCTATTTATCAGAACTCTCAGCAGATATGAATTCTTTACCTGTCAAGACTGGAATCCCACTGATCTACATCGTGTGACCCCAAAACCTGTGGTACAATTTTCCCTTTCCGTTCCTGTGTGCAGCACATGTAGCAATAACTTCCTCTTGCAGAATTTGTTCTCTGAGAAAACATGCTTCTGCAGCAATTAAATAGCATGGAACACAAGAATTTCTGCTACTTGGTGAGAACTTTCTCAAAGTTATATTTAATATAATTGAGAATTACTTAATATAAAGAAATGAAAGTAATAAGAGGAATAAAAAGGCAAGATAAGCACAAGAATAGAGCCCTCCTATAACGAATACCATAGACTAGTAAAATTAGAACATTTATCATTCCTGAGATGCTATACTATATTTTATTTTTGTTTCCTAATATTCACATCTATATTGCCAAGGTCTGACAATTTAATTCTCAATAAAGTTCCCAGGTAATATCTGAATCTCATTTAGCTTGAAAATTAAAGCACTGGCATCCTGTTATTTTTCATGTGTGGAAAGAAAAAGCAAAACTTAGATTTCAGAAACTGTATTTTTTTTTTTTTGTGAATTTACCTTAATTTATCATTAATCAAAATGAATATCCTTTCAGCTTTGAGGCAGTTGTACCTTTGCACTTAGAAAGAATAACATGATACTCTCATCAAAGTAATTCATAGACACATGCATACATGAAACAACACAGAAATACCACACTATGCACACTTCTAACACTTTGAATAAAAAGCCCACTAATCTGTGGACTCATATTTTGGTTATAGTGAAATGCAGTTTGCTTTAGCATAAGATCTTAAGCATCTATCTTACTCTTAGGTTTCAGTAGAAATACTCCTTGTCCTGTCTATCTTTAGTACCACTCCTTATGAAAAGGATCAAGGCAGGCTCTTCTATTTCTGCCTTTGATGGTACTTAAAATCCACGTCTGAACACTGTCATTGTTAATGAAATAGAACACCCTTGTATATAAATAAAATTGAAACATTTGGTCTCGTACGCAGATAATGTAAAATATATCACAGCAGTGATTACCTTTAAATGCTAGGCATGTCATTCCAGGTTGCAATATTTCTGAAAAAAGCCGTAGTCATAGTACTGCTCTCATGCTGCCAGCAAGGTTTAGCTGATCAAGTCGAGGAGCAGCCGGTCGAATGAGTGTGTTGTGAAGTTCACGCTGTCATGTAGAGCAGCATTTGCCAAACAGGCCACATACTTCCTCTCTGAGAAATAAGGAAGGCTCAAAGTGTTTGCAACAGATGAGGTTCCTGTTGCAAGTCACTACTGAAGGCACATTTTATCTATGGGCTGAGAAAAACAGGGAGGTTTTCAATGTATTGCATCAGGGCTGGTTTCAGCAGATATAAAAAATGAGGGAAATAACCCGGTTTACATTACTTACACAAAAAGGGTTTATTTTTTTTCCTTCTTCTTACGAATTTATTTATCCAGTAATGCTCATTCCCCAACTGTTTTCTTTTATGCACTTTTGCTATTTTTTTTCTGACAGACGGGAAGAGGCACAAAACATTTTTTTCTCTCTTATTGAGTCCAAATAGGAATGCAGCCTTTGCTTTATGCTTCACTCTGCACCCCAAAATACCTCTGTCTGCAAATAATTGAAGCTTAAGATCAGCAATGAAGAAATGTGGATTGAAAGCCAGTCTGTGAAGCCCATTTTCACATTAGTTGTAAAAAGTGCAGAAGCCTCAGGACCTTCCTCATCTCAGTGTCTGAGATGGAGGAACCAAGATACTGGCCTGTAAAATAACCTGACTAAAAGCACTAAAGAATATTATCATGTGGATATGAATATATAATTCAAAGGGATTTATTAAGGTTTTCTCTTTGCTTTTATAGTCAAGATTGGATCTGAAAAACTCATATCCCTAACATAGTATAGGAAAATATTAATAAACCCTTGACAAACTCCAAGAAAACAAAGTAACCCAACAAGCCCAAGCAGATTTCCTATTTCACACCAGAGTAGCTCCAAGTAGGTGCTTATATGGGAGCTGTTGAGTAAATGCTATTGAAACCAGGAAACACTGATCAAATCCCCAAAGCTGTGCCAAAAATTGGTAATTTGGTAATTTCAGGAGAATATTCTCTCTCTTTGATTAGCTCTTGATAAGCTAATCAGTCTATAGCACAGCTCCATTTTTTCTCTGGCCAGTTATATTTTGATTGTTTAGGACCCTCTTGCTTTCTTCAAGTCACAAGGATGTGACATGCATGCCCATTAACGGGATTCACTGAATTGATGAACAATGTCTCTGGAATTACTAA